TCTTACCATTTTTATCTCTCATATATAAGCATGGATCCGCTTCACTAGCCTTAAAACCAAGCTCCAATAAATACTTCCCAAATCTTCGGTTCCAGCATCGTGGGGCTTGCTTCAATCCATATAAACTTCTTTTAAGTTTGCATACCTTCTTAGTACCATCATCAAAACCTTCGGGCTGTTTCATATAAATAATTTCCTCAAGATGACCATAAAGAAACGCTGTTGAAACATCAAATTGAGATATGTGCATGTTTTGACTAGCAGCTACACTTAGAATAGCTCTAATTGTTCCCAATTTGGCTACAGGGCTAAATGTTTCATTGTAATCTACACCTTTACGCTGTTTAAAGCCTTTTATTACCAATCTTGCTTTATATTTGTCTATACTTCCATCAGGATTAGTTTTCACTTTAAATACCCACATTGATGGCAAAGCTTTGGAATCTTTTGGGAGATCAGCCATTTCCCACGTTTGGTTTTCCTTTAACGAATTCATTTCGGAATTCATGGCTTTCATCCATTCTTTCTTTTCTGCGCTATTAATTGCATCGCCAAAAGTAACCGGAGTTTCAATTTGACTTACGAAATCTTGGGACGCCATAACGTAATCATCAAATCTTGAATTATGTAATAAGGTGCGATCTCTAAGTCGTTTGCTCATCGGTTCCTCATCGTCATTAGTAAATGATCTCTTACGCTTATTTACCTCGAAACCGTGGAAATCACTTACATCTGAGTCTGAATAACCATCTTCTATACACTCTTCATAAAATTCGTTTTCTTCAGTATCTGAATTATCTTCCTGGTGACTAGGTTGGGATTCGCTTACAGCATACTGACTGTCCTGAGAAGTGCTTGGCTTGCTTAGATCCACTTCCTCAATTGGCTTTTCGTAATTTTTAAATTTTAATATAATTTCACCACTCCTGTCTTCCGAAATATTCTCACTAGCATCTTGAAAATCATCACAATTTATTAGTTCTTCACTAAACTTAACATCTCTTGATAATAATATACTGTGATTTTCTTTTACATAAATTCGGTAACGTTCTTCTGTGTCATATCCAATTAAGTAGCCCTTGGTTGCTTTTGGATCCATTTTCTTTCTCTTCTGACTAGGAACATGGGCATAGCATTCACTTCCAATTATTCTTAAATGATTTATTCTAGGCTTTCTTCTAAACCATAGCTCATGTGGGCTCTTACCTTCAACAGAAGTCTTTCGAGTTCGATTTAGTATGTATATGGCTGTGCGAACTAATTCAGCCCAAATTGCTTCAGGAAATTCAACGCTCTTATTTGAATACTTAAACGTTCGAGCCATTTCAATCACTGTTCTATTTTCTCGTTCACTTGCACCGTTTTGTTGTGGTGTATAAGGAGCAGTCAACCTCTGTGTCACTCCATATTCTTTTAAAATTTTACGTATTTCATAATTATCAAACTCACCTCCATTATCGCTCAAAAATTCTTTAATTGGATTTTCTTGGTTCTTTGCAAGAGCTAAAACTTCTTTCAGTGCATCTTTAACTTCAGATTTTTCTTTTAGTAAGTAGCCAAAACAGTATTTAGTATATGAATCTTTAAATATAACTAAATATTTCTTTTTACTAAAAGATACTGGAAATGGACCACATACATCGGATGACATTAACTCGCCTGGACTACTAGCCTTCTCTCTAGTTCCAAATGGTTGCCGATGAGACTTTCCATAAATGCAGGATTCGCATAACTTGTTGTCTAACTTAACATTAATACCAAGTTCTGTCTTGAGTTTTTGTTGAACATGTCGTTTATCTTGATGTCCCCATCGCTCATGATATAATTGCAAGGTATTATCAGCTTCTGTAGAATTAACTTCATTTATTGTTCTTGGGATGACTGGTTCGATATCTGCTTTGTATAGGGAACCTCCTTTTTCTCGATGTCCAACTAACAAAACTTCATTGTTTGATAAAAGTTTACAGACAGTAGCAGTCGACTTAAATTCACTATTATTTATTTTATCTTGGGTAGACAATACGGAGAATAAGTTCCTGGATATGTTTGGAACATACCAAACATCTGTCAGATCAAATATGAGTACCTTGTTGTTTACTTTTGATTTGATCTCTATAGTTCCCTTCCCAAGGACATCCAAAATTTCTTTACCGGCAGCCTTAATTTTGCACGAGTTATTAAATTTTTCAAAGGTTTTAAATAAACTTCTATTATTCGTAACATGGCGGGTTGCACCATTATCAATCCACCAATCATTTGAAAAATCTTCATTAATTGCGTTTATTTCGTCACAAATTAATGGTAGTATTCGGTGAGATGTACATTTTACTTCACTAATCTTTTCTTTTACTGGCTTACCGTCGTTGATCCATTTTCTGCAATCACGTACCCAATGGCCTTTCTTGTTGCAATAATTACAGACATCAGATTTCTTATTCTGTTTGTTACTTGCTGATGATGACTTCTTTTTAAAATTATTCACCACTAAAGCTTCATCATTTTTCACAACATTTGCTCCTTTGCAATTTCTTTCATACATACATAGTTGTGCTGACATTTCATCAAAATTCTTTTCTTCATTCTTGGTTAAAAGCATCCAGCTTGATTTAAACGTATCAAATTGTGTTGGCAAAATCTGAAGAATTTTACATACTAATAAAACATCTGGTAGTTGATTTTCGTTCCTTGCTTTTAAACCGTTGTTCAGTTCCAACCATAAGCTTTTTAGTTTTGCAATATGTAGACTCACATCTTCATTTGTGTTCCACATGAACGAAAAGAAATCAATACAGATTTTGAATAATTGATCTTTGGATCTCGCTTCAAATTGTAGCATTAATGATTCCCAAGCTTCTGCAGCAGTTTCTTTATCCATTATCTTTTGGTATACTTCATCACTTACTGCGCTTGTAATCATAGACTTCGCATAACTATTTGCCTTTCTGAACAAATCTGTTTCATCTCTGTGTATCTTCTTTTCTTCAGCTGTTGCGGTGGTTGGTAGTGGTATTGGTTTCACTAACTTACCATCTATAACATCAACTGCTCCTTCATGATAATCCAATAAATCACGCATCTTGCGTTTCCAGATTGGATAATCCAATTCATTTTGAAGAGGCTTGATGTGTTTTGAAAAATCCATTTTTACTTACAGATTCTTCTTATAATCTTGAAGTATTTTAATCTTGATAAAATGTCTTAAATATCTTGTAAAATTTCTTGAAAAATTCTTGTTTTTCTTAATATCTTAAAAAATTTTCTTTATTTGAAGTTTCTTGAAAATTTTCTTAATTTAATTTTCTGAGTTTCCTGGGCACATAACCTTTTGTAGTAAATGTTTTATTTCGAATAAAATATTATGAGAATTGAAAAATCAACAAATACAAATATTACTAATATAAAAATACAATCAATATACAAAGTATTATACATAACATAACAATTTAATTCAACAAGGTCTGTATCCCCACCATCCTCACTAGTCCGGTCCCTGAAAGCCGTAGTGTCCAGCTCTACTACCCTTTCGTCACATTGTACGTCTTTTCTGTCCGCTACTACCTCTTCCTTTTCCTTATTTAAATTTTCTGATTCAATTTTGATCCCACGAATATGCTCGTTCGGACGGACCATCCACGCAGTGACGGCATACGTGGACTAGGCAACTATCTTACAACAGCGTTTTACCCTGACGCTGAGGGGAGCTGTTAACGGCTAATTTATTTACGCACTAATTAGCCATTCAGGACCTCGGCACTGCTTCCAACCACCTTGACCTTAAAAGTGCTTATATAACGCAATACCCTAATAGTAAAGCTCTTATCAATCAAGAGCGAACCTGCAATGGGCAATCACGTATCATCTATGCCATGATAATAAAGCGACAAGCTATGTAAACCGCTTATTGCTACAGCCATACCATGACAGGATGAGTAACCTTTAGTTATACACCCCTTTATAAGCCAGAACCCACCGCGAGTAGAGGTTTGAAGCCAATAAACTCAGAAGGCCCTGACAACAGAGTGTACGTAAGCCCTCGCATCGCGACAAGATTGTTACCCAGGCGAAGGAATTAGGCAGCTAATTTCCTGTAAATTAAAAATTACGTTTAATTTAACTCCCTTAAAATTACGAAAATAACAAAAAAAAAAAATCGTAACAAAATATTTTTTTTGTGAAATCAAAAATAATTCTTGTATATTACTAAATAATCTTGTTACGAAAAAAATTCGTTACTTTCGTTAAATATTACATGCCTTAACGAAATTATTTTGGTAAAAGAAAACAAAGTTTCTTAATATATACGAAAAAAAGATATTACGACAGGTTTTCGTACTTTCGTAAGATTAGAAAAGGGGTTGATTAAACAATATTTCGTATTATACACGAAATTTTCGTATATATTACGAAAAAAAGTAGTTACGAAATTTTTTTTCGTAAAGTTAAGCATGGATTATTTTCAGTGTATAAAACGATTTAAGTTTCTATTGTATAAGTCGTAAAATAATAGAATATTTTTATTGAACAAGCAAAATATTTTAAAAAGTCCAATATTCGAAAAAAAATTATTATATCATGTGTATATAGTTTTTTATGAATATATAAATATATTTGTTTTTTAAAAATCACAAAAAATGATATACCGGAAGTCTTCTGTAAAAAAAAAAAAATTTAATTCCATTCGTGATCTTGATTAGTTTAGAAAAACTCTTACAAATTCCAGCGATTTTTTTGTTTATCTGTTAACGCTAAAAAATAACTTGGCAACACTAAATGTCAAAATAAAACATCATTGCCGCGAGAAGCAGAAACCGTCGCTGATATATTTAAAAGCCATCACCATTAATATAAAAGTTTAAGTTAAATCCTGTTAAAATGTAGTCAAATCCTATTGATATTTTTGTTTGTATCTTAAATTTTTGCAATTTAAATATTTATTTTTTGCTCTCTATTTGAATACTTTTAAAAGCAAGTTATTAGAATGCAACCGTTAACATTTTCAGTACCAAACGGCGTAAAGTGAAGTTTGGTCGGCGCTGGACTCTGGATGGTGGTGGTGTTTTTTCCACATCTGATCTAAATTTTTGCAATAAATTTGGTTTTTCATATTATAATTAATAAAAAAGTAAATATTTTCAGAATTAGTGGAAAAAATAATACAGATATTAATTAATTAAAGTGAATACAACATGAAGAAAGTATTGATGGTGGCTGAGAAGCCGTCTTTGGCGGCATCGTTGGCACAAATTTTGTCAAATGGAAGAAGTACTTCGAAAAAAGGTTAAATTTAACAGTGATGTCATGGAAACCATTGTTTATTAAAAATGTTTACGTTTATTGTTTAGGTACTAGTAATTCTTGTTCGACTCATGAGTGGACGGGTACCTTTAAGGGCTCAACTGTACTCTTTCGCATGACATCAGTGTGTGGGCATGTAATGTCACTGGATTTTGTGGGCAAGTACAATTCTTGGGATAGAGTTGATCCCGTTGAATTGTTTGGCTGTCCCACCGAAAAGAAAGAAGCAGTTCCCAAGATGCATATGCGCAGTTTTCTTGCCCAGGAAGCAAAAGGTTGCGATTATTTGGTTTTATGGCTGGATTGTGATAAAGAAGGCGAAAACATTTGTTATGAAGTTATGGATGCAGTGTCAAGAGTGATAAATAATGTTTATAATCGAAGCGTTACATATCGTGCCCACTTTTCGGCTATTACGGAAAAGGATATTAAAGGTGCCATGGAATCGTTAGGCTTTCCTAATGAAAACGAAGCCAAATCTGTGGATGCTAGACAAGAATTGGATTTACGTATTGGTTGTGCTTTTACTCGCTTCCAAACTAAATTTTTCCAGGGACGTTATGGTGATTTGGATGCTTCCTTTATCTCATATGGTCCCTGCCAAACGCCCACATTGGGTTTCTGTGTCAAACGTCACGACGATATTCAAACATTTAAACCGGAAAGTTTTTGGTATTTGCAACTGACTGCTGGCCAGCCAGAATTCAGTTTCGAATGGGCACGCGGTCGTGTATTCAAGAAGGACATTGCCATAATGCTCTTGAATATGGTTAAAAATCAAAAGGAGGGATTGTAAGTACAGATGATAATATAAATTGGTTTTGTAAAGTTTCGCTAAAAACTACATTACTTTTGTTGTTTAGAATTGAAAGTGTAACTTCGAAAGAGCAATTCAAAGGTCGGCCACAAGCATTAAACACTGTCGAATTGATGCGTATTTGTAGTTCTGGTTTGGGCATAGGTCCCTTTCAAGCAATGCAAATTGCTGAACGTCTTTATACGCAGGGTTATATAAGTTATCCACGTACGGAAACAAATCAATATCCAGCTAATTTTGATTTAAAGTAAGTTTATATCAAATTTTAATACCATGTATGGAAATAATCATATATTTTTTATTTTTATTTAGTGCTGTCTTGCATATACTGAAACCCTCCACAGAATTTGGTAGCGAAGCCCAGGCTATATTGAGCGATTTTAATCCACCACGCAAGGGAAAAGATGCCGGTGACCATCCTCCCATTACACCCATGAAATTGGCTTCGCGTAATGATTTTGAAAGAGACACATGGCGAGTCTATGATTTCATTTGCAGACATTTCTTAGGAACCATATCAAAAGATTTAAAATATCGTACGACAGTAGTCAAAATGCGTGTTGGCATGGAGACTTTCTCGTGTACGGCAAATGTTTTAATCGATCCTGGTTATACGAAAGTTATGACTTGGCAGGCGTTTGGTCGTGATGAAGCCATACCTCCATTCACCGAAGGCGAACGTGTACAATTTAACGATGTACGTTTGGCCGAAAGTCAAACGAGTCCGCCGGATTACTTGACAGAAGCTGAATTAATTACTTTAATGGAACAGCATGGTATTGGTACAGATGCTTCTATACCCGTGCATATCAATAACATTTGTCAACGTAATTATGTGACAATTGAGAGTGGCCGTAAACTTATACCTACAACATTGGGTATTGTCTTGGTACATGGCTATCAAAAGGTGAGTGTGCAGAATGGACTATTGAAAATTTGGTATATTTAAATATTGATATATTTCTACAGATTGATCCAGAATTAGTGTTGCCCACTATGCGCTCTGAAATGGAAGGCATGCTTAATCTTATAGCCAAGGGATCGGCTGATTTTAATGCAGTCCTTAAACATGCTATCGATATTTTCCGTTTGAAATTCTTATATTTTGTTAAGAACATATCCAGTATGGATAGTTTGTTTGAGGTGTCATTTTCTCCCCTGGCCGAGTCTGGTAAGTCTCATTCGCGCTGTGGCAAATGTCGACGTTATATGAAGTACATACAATCAAAACCAGCACGTCTGCATTGTTCGCAATGCGATGAGACCTACTCGCTGCCCAATGGTGGCAATGTTAAGGTTTACCGTGAATTCAAATGTCCTTTGGATGACTTCGAATTGTTGGCGTTTACCACCGGCACCAAGGGTAGATCGTACCCCTTCTGTCCCTACTGTTACAATCATCCACCGTTCAGGGATATGCCTAAGAATGCCGGCTGTAATTCTTGCACTCACCCCACCTGCCCTCATTCTCTGAATACTTTAGGTATATCGGGTTGTGTGGAGTGCGAACATGGCGTTCTTGTACTGGACTGTACTTTAGCGCCAAGTTGGAAAATTGGCTGCAATAGATGCGATGTCATAATCAATTGCTTTAAGGGAGCTACTAAAATAACTGTAGAAGGTAAATTATTTACACAGGATGTTATATTGAATTAATATTAATTAATAAATTTATTTACCCCACCAACAGAAGATAAATGCGACGATTGTGGCGCTCAAAACGTTAAGGTTTTGTACAAATCGGACAAGACAAAATTCAAGGACGGTTCGGAAGAAAAATCCGGTTGCATATTTTGTTCATCAGATTTTACTCATTTGGTAGAAAAACATCGTGCAGTAGCATCACGACCTGTTAATATAAGAGGTGGTCGTGGAGGTCGGGGCGGCAGAGGTGGTAGTAAAGGTGGTCGTGGCGGCGGTGGTGGTAGAGGAGGCCGTGGTGGTTCACGTCAACCCAAAGACAAAATGGCTCAATTAGCTGCCTATTTTGTTTGAGATTGATCTTTTGCTCAGCATAAAATTTATTCATAAAGATTTGCAATGTTGTAAATTACAACATTTAATACATTTTATTTTCAATACATACGTACATATTTATTAAACAACAAATTAAACATTTTTATAATGTTTAATGCATTTATAGTAATTTTTATGTATAATGGCAACACATATAAGAAAATAAAGTGATAGTAAAAACAATTTTAAAACAATAACTTTATCTTCTTTTTACAATCTATCGGTTAATACAATAAATGTATATTTGAACGATATCATTAGATGTCCTAGACTGAAATAATTAATCCTAGAATATAGTTACCTTAAACGCGTGAATGTAACTAATTTGTTATGTCCTTTTGCATTTCAATTGATGATATATTACTGCAAAATAAATAGCTAAAATGGCCCATATACAACACCAGCATGCTGACATAGTAATTTCATTGTAATTTCATGCTCGAACCATATATCACACCAGCATGCTTGTACAATATTCATTTTTCAGAAATTTTTTTATGGTAAAGGTCGTTGCGAATAGTACAGATATTTACAAAGAACTGGCCTATTTTGTTTATCGTCCCGTAGGCATATAACATGTATATTTCATATAAATTTAAAATGTATAAAATTGGGAGCTATGGTATTGCTTTGCTTTCAATTGAATAAAATAAGAATTTGGTTAATTGATTGAGTAAAAAAAGAATTTGGCATTAAGAAAAAATAGAGTTGGGAAAATTGATCTGAAAAATAATTATAAAAGAAGGTCGGTTAAGGTAAAGTCTTGACTACAGTGAGGAACAATCGGATAAAGCGTTTCTTCTCAGATGGCTTGAGATGTGCAACTATCCAAATTGTTCCTCAATATATAGTAGCTTCAAACATCTTAAATCAGTGCATCGATTTTGAGTCGAAGAAAGGAGATATGTCGAAATGACGCAAAAAATAGTATATGAATACAAAAACAAAAAAAACAAAAACACGAGTAGCGCGGACAAAATGGATCTCCTTCTGTCTTTCAATAAATTAGGTCTTCAATCATCAAGCATTTTTCCATAAACATATTCGTCCAATAACAAAGATGTATGATGATATTTCATGTTACTCTGTGATAGCTTCCTTAGGTAGCACAGGATAACTTTATACCAAACCGTCTACATATATTTCGAAAACTAAATATTATAGGTACTAATTATAATTATACAAGTTTCATTCATATTTTTTTATTATATGATGTAAAATTGCCGTACTCACTTTAGATTAGAAGAAAACAATACTGTTATTTCTTATACATATATATATGTATGTATGTACATATGTATGTATATTATGTGGAAGCTAAGATATTAATTACACCAGTTTTTTTTCTAAAAAAAAAGAAATAAATTAGATGCAATTCTTACTAGTCACATTTTGTAGAAGTCTTTGTCGTGTGCACCCTGTAGTAGGGCAAAATTTAAAAAGAAGAAGACGGAAAGAGAAGTTGGCAACGCGGCTGTACAAACTAACTGACAGCTGGAAAATGTAAACAAAAACAAAACTATAATGTAAAAAAACTATACGGTTTAGATAAATGGCTGAAATGGTGTTAAATTGATGGGAACCATATTGGTAACCGAGGTTTCTCGTTACCTAAAAAGTAAGATGTCGGTCCTTTTCATTTTTCCCTGCCCAAGAAGAAGGTGGAGCCCGTGGCCGTCAAGAACAATAACAAAAATTTTAATTTAAATTAAATAATTTCCTTGTTTTTTTTATTCATAAAAGTTTCAAACTAAACTACAAATAAAAGTTAAAACAAAATAAATTAGAACTTAAAACTAAATTACATCATCATAAAACTAAATAAAACAGAAAAATAAAGCTAAATCAGCCAACTCTGAGCCACGCCATCGCCAGCTCCATCCATCGAGGGACTCCTTTAGCAGATCCGCACCATCGGTCCTGTGGTGCCCAGGTATTAAGGTTTTCGACCTTGTAAGTTTACCTCTTACCCGAACGACAGGACGAACAGAACCAGTCAGTCCTTTTAGATAATTTCTATATATAAAAAAAAAAAGAATAAAAAATTTCATTAAACAAAAAAAAAAAACAGCTATATATTAGTTTATAGGCAAACCTTACGGTTAGTTGCTCGAAGCCAGTCCGCGGGTTGAAATTGAACCAGGCGTGCGCGTAAGGTTAGGGTTGAGCTCAGGCCTACTTATGAATAGTGTCGCGGTGGATTTGTTCTCATAGGTTGCCGGAAACCAGTATATACAAAAAAAAAAAAAAAAAGAAAAGAAAAAAAAAACCCAAATTATTTAAAAGGTTCTTGTAAAATATATATTTTTGTTACTTACCTGAAATACCCGAACAGACTGTAAAACGGACGGACAGAAAACCACACCTGCAAACCAGCTCTCCTCAATAGTCCATTTGCGTTAGTCCTGCCAGCTGTCCATGTTGAGGAACCTGAAAGTAGAAGGGAAAATCTTGAATTAAAAGAAGAAAAACTCAAAATGAATTAAAAACTTAAATGAAATTTGAAACCTAAAACTTAAAAACTATAATTTGATAAAAGTTAAAACTAAAATTTGATTAAATTTTTAAATCTAAAAGCTAAAATACTAAAAACTAAATTTTGTTAAAATCTTAAAAAACTAAAACTAAAAACTAAATTAGCAAGAATCTGAAGTTGCTAAAAAACTAAATTTGATAAAATTAAAACTAAAAACTAAATTTTGTTAACTAAAGTTTGCTAAAATCTTAAAATTAAATTTTGCTAAATATAAAAAAAGAACTAAATTCGCTAAAAACTAAACTTTGCCAAATTGTTAAATCTTTTACTATAAATAAACAAAAATTTTTATAATGTTTAAATGAAATTTTAAAATTTTGTTATCATTAATATGATCGGCTAACTTTATTAATAATCGGCGGTAAGTAGGGTGAATAAATGTTTGCAGGGAAGGTATGGGACGTCGAGGAAGATGACGTCATGGCGAGGATGAATCCTCGAGAGGGAGGGTCATAATTTGTGTATAGGTATGACCGTAGGGAGATGCAGGACTACTTTAGGCCCCTTTTTCAAATAATACCCCAAATGCTGGTATGAATTTTTGTGTTAGTGTGTGTTTGTGGTCCAGATTGCCGGCAAGAACCACCCCATCCGGCGAGCTTTAGCCGCGCAATACGCGGGCATACCAGCGCCGCTAGCAATCTGGCCACCCCGTCCCTTTTTTTTATTCTTTATGTTGTCTGTTTGTGTATTTAAACAAACAGCTGGCAAACCACACCGCAACATAAATGGCGCCCAACGTGGGGCCCGAAGTAGGTCCATAGACCAGTTTATAGAAACTATCATTTCCCTGAAGTCTGCGTAGGCCGGTTAGGTTAATAAGAGTCCCTAGCTGTAGCTACGTAGGCGGACGGTATAGTGTATTGACATTTTTAAAATTTTTCTTCCTTTTAGTTTCAATAGGTATGAATCCCTAATTGCGCATGATACCTATTGTTCTCACAGATGTAAGTCCCGGTCTCGAGGACTAAAGAGTCCCGATCGCGTTGCGACATCTGGTGTGGACAATAGGGTCACGCGGAATTCTGGATTCATTCGTTGCTATCCTTTCCTAACAACTTGAGGCTTAGAGATAATAGACACAGTTTATTCTCTAAATGCTCAAGTTGGATGGAAGGATAGCTACAACATCCCTTTAGCTTACAATAGCCCAAAATTAATTGCTCTTAACGTAAAGATACGTACGTTTTAGTTCTACAGGAAGTCTAGGAAGGTAGTCCTTGAATACCAGAGGAACGTAACCTTGATCAAGCTGCACCTCGTTAGTCCGTACTGTAGGAAGACAATTAGTTCTTGTACATCCTTTTGTGTTTTTGTTGTTGTTAGTCGTACTCTGCATCTCCTGAAACCAGAATAGGAAAAATAATTAGGTCATATCTATACACAATTCAGCAATGTAAATTGTGAAAACTTACCTGCAAACTTTTATTTACCCGAAAATGCCGCCCGCATACAAGTTATTTAAGTTTTGAATTTTGAGTTTGTTTTCTTTTTGGTTTTTTGTTTGAAAGATCGAAAATCTTTTAGTTTATATCTTCTATACCTACGCTGCGAAAGATTCTGTACCACGAACCTTTTTTTTAAATATAGATATATACAAGCCTTTTTGCAATCGTGAATTTTACATTAATTTTATTTGTTTTTAATGGTGTTGACTCGTCGTGCAAGTCGTTTAATAGGGCAAGATAACGCTATGGCCACGACTGGAAGCAGTGTTACTTGTGGTATCGACACCTCAACCACCACATCTATCACGACATCCACCGTTCCCACAACCAATACAACCACAGCTACAACTTCAACCAGCGACTCCAATCCACTGATTAGTGCCCAAACATCCCATGATCTGTCCATTAGTTCTGACGGGGCAAATCAGACGGTAGTGTCCCCGACATTCATCAGCGAAACAGCGCAGGACATACGTAGAGAGGTGAGAGAGAGTATGGCTGGCCAAGGAATGGAGAATTCCATCCATGTTAATGACATCCAGAATATAGTGGATGCTTCGGTGGGTTTGCGCCAAGTTCAATTTATGAAGGAGGTCGACAACAAAATACAAAAAGTATTAGATGACATGAAGCAGCTGTTTTTGTCGCTGTCAATGAGTAATGCGGCTCCAGTGCCTACTGAGATGTCCCCAATCGGCCAAGGAATGCCGACTACACAGCCTCTCAGAACCTCTTTGGAGGCACGGCCATCGGGATATGGTCAACCAGCAACGCCGCTTGGCCCGCCAACTTATCAGCAGCCACCACCGCTGATTCCAGCTCCAAATTATGTACCCGTCGGTCCAGCAGCTCCCAGAGTAGTAGAGGCTAGCATCCAGCCGCCTAGAGTACAGACTTCATATCAGCAGCCGCCAGTACAGACACCGTACCAGCAGCAGCAGTCGCTGCTTCAGCAGCAAAATCCTCTGCCGCTTATCCAGCAGCCGGCGGCGTGTTACAGGCAGCCGCAGCAACTTTGGTCGCAGGGAAACCGCCAGAACCTACTGCCAGCGCAACCGCATAACCAGCCGCCACCACAAAACCAGTTGCCGTACGTCCAACCGTCAGCTCACGCTTTCAGTCAGCAACAGCAACTAGGGCCGCAGCCACCACAAGGTCCACAGGCCAATTTCCAACGGCAAAGTGCGTCCCAGGCTGGGTAT